TGATACAATAGCTGAAAACCTCTGTGTGTGACCAGGGTTCCTGCAGATGTCATCATTAATGAAACCAGGAGAATTTCTCATTTAGAATTAATTAGAGTTACAATTGAGCAGGAATCCCAGGGAGCATTAGATGTGAAACACTGCACTAACATCTTTCTTGTGTTAATTCTTCTCCAAATGATGTGAAGATTAAGTCCTTAGTGAGACACCGCCTCTTCTAGCCAACCTGCAAGAGAGGATGTTTATTGGAAGGGGTCAGAGGAAGAGACACCAGAGCTCTAGGAAAACATCTTGGAGCAAAGGGCACTGAGAGATAAGTTAGGGAAAAACAGGTGTCTGAAACCTCAAAAGTAGCCTTTTTGGTAGAGTTCTACAACGGGCTCTTGTCCCACTTGTAACAACAGTAAGTTGCCGGGAATTTGCTGGCAGGTTTGATTTGGGTTGCTCACATTCTGAAGGCGTCACAGATAGAGCTGACCATTCCCCTAGAGGACGACCTCTGCTAGGTCTCCCTCTCCAGCTAGCATCTCCTGTGGCTTGTGGGACAGCAGAGCGGGCTGTGCTGCTCAACACCATTACTCCCAGTGAGCACAGTCCATGCCCATCAGCTCTCAATGCCCATCAGCTCTCCATCATTGCATGGAGTCATCTCCAGCACAGGTCCAGAAGAGGGGAGTCTGAATCTCAAGCAGCTCAGCAAGAGGTGGAGGGAGTGACAGGAGCAGCGTGACCAATATGTGGAGAGATGGGAAGAGCTTCTACCCAACAAGGAGGTCCTGGCCACAACAGAACCCCAGCAGGACTCTGGTCCTTGCTGCAACCTGGGTAAATAACTGCCTCTGCTGGTGTCAGTGTTGAGTCCTGTTCAGAGCAGAACACTTGTTTTATGGATATGTTTTGAAAGGAGACCGAATCAGTTGTGCAGAGGTAAATCCTGTCCTCATTAAAAATACTCACTCTTTTAAGTGGATTTTTCCCTTTTTCACATTATAGACTTATATAAGTCTATAATTTCACATTATAGACATTATAGACTTAGCTTTTATTTGCCTTTTATTTGCATGCTGGATTTTTTGTCTTGTTTTGTTGGTTGCTTTTTTTTTTTTTTTTTTTTTTTTTACTTGAATATTAAAAATAGAAAATGCCTTTACGACCTCAAATTGCTGTTTTCATTTTGTCATGAAGAAAAGCTGACAGCTTTGCTGCTCAGCTAAACTTGTACTACGTAGGATAGTTGGTTTCAGCATCTGCCCAACTTCAAGGGAGTAATTAAACACTTCTAAATACCTCATTGTTCACAGGAGGCCAAAAAAAACGGTTGGTATGCTCTCACTCATGCCAGCTTCTACTGGAAAGGGGCTGAAAAGCACAAGAATGTTTAATTTAGATAGGAGACGCTTAAGTGGTGGTTAGGTGGAGGTACACAAGGTAATGAAAAATGCAGAATAACCAGGGGGAAAAAAAAATACTTTTCTCACTAAAGGAAAGAAAGGCACACGTGTAAAATTACAAGGACGCAACTTTGAAAGTTAGATTTTATTTTTATGCAATGCAGATACTCTGGCAAACGTACCGAGCTGACTATATCTCAGCCTCACTTAGATGTGAGCAAGCATATAGATGACAAGATTGCAGGTAGGAGCACTATGCAGAGAGCTGAAACACAGCTGGTTCCTCTGATTCCTGCCCTCAGTAGATGTCTAATCTTTCAGCACCAGTTTTCATTTCCTTACCCTGGCTGAAAACAGTATCAGAAATGTTAATACAGTGAACTCCGCTGGATAAATGAAATCCTGAAGATGAGACTTGTGTATTTGTGTGCCTGTTTGTTACCCAGTATGATGGAAGCTCCCTCTCACTCTTGAGCTGGCCAGGAGGGATCTGGTTTCTCGGTGGGCACCACCATGAGTGGTGATCTTTGTGCATTGAGGGAGAACCAGCACCCATAGCCACGGAGCTGCCTCTGCTCAGCAGAAATCCCTTGGGGTTTTTCTGCTTTGAGAGGTGGATCCAAATATCTCCTTCCGAGCTGATCTGTCTCCTGGAAGCACTGTGGCTGAAGCCATCTGCTAAGGGAAAGCTCTCGATGTTTGGTGAGAACAAAGTTCCAGCTTCCCAGCTTTCCTCTTCAAACTGACTGGCTAAATATACATGTGCTGAACATTTTTTATTCTTGGGCTTTGAGTATGATTTTTTTTTTTTTTTGACATCCAAAAACTCTCGAGAATGACCCCCCTCCCCCCCATTGTCATCCGTGTGTAAAAGGATGCAAAATCCTCCTCCAAGTGCTCATCATCCGTGTGTAAAAGGATGCAAAATCCTCCTCCAAGTGCTCATCATCCATGTGTAAAAGGATGCAAAATCTTCCTCCAAGTGCTCAGCTCTATGGTAACTGTTGAGTCATGGCCTGACCCACTGATTGAGCACCTGGGGAAAGGACCTGGTCAGCCCTGGGAGCACAGGTGAAGGCAATGCAGCTGTGTGACTGGAAGGGGTGGAGCCTGGCTGCATCTCTCTTAGACCTCATTTAAGGGCTGACTGTCATTTGGGAAGGTTCTTTCTTTGGAGATTCCCCCCCTTGGTGGAGTTTTCCCCTATGAGCTGAGATCTTCAGAGATGGGTGAGCAGTCTTTTTTTCCTTCACTTGTAACACCTTTCTATTGCATTAGTCCCTCTGTTGTTATACCTCTTATTATTACCTATTCATTGTGTTGATCTAACTGTTGCACCAGCTCATGGTGCTGAGCACACACCATGTGGGGGGAGGAATGGCCAGTCCAGAGGTGGCTTGTGGCCACCCACCCAAAGCTTGTTTATAGAGCAGGAGGGCACTTTCCCCTCAAGGATGTGAATTTAGGCTGTGAGACACAGAAGCACGTGCAAAACCGAGCAGCACTCTGCTCTTATCCTCCCAGAAGCAACAGAGAGGTTTGTTCTGCAAGAGCCTTTGGTTGAGTAAAGCCTAGTGATAACTGGAGCCCAACTCCTCCGTACCTCTCTCTCTGACAAATTATCACGGAGTTGTAGAATCATTAATATTAGAAAAGACCCCTCAGATCCCCAAGTCCAACCCCATCGCACCATGTTGCTGCACATCCTTCAGTGCCACATTTCCACAGCTCTGAACACCTCCAGGGATGGTGATTCCCCACCTCCCTGTGCAGCTGTGCACTGCTCTTTCTGAGGAGGAATGTTTCCTAATACCCAACCTTATAATAATTCAGAGGGGGAAGATTATTATTATGCCTTTATTGAGAGTAAGACGTGGGACAAAGGATGCATTTTGCTAGAGATGCAGGGGTGGTTGGTGATGTGAGTGTGCACACGCTCAGAAATGGTTTTGTTTCCATAAACTTCATCATCTTGTGAAAGTGCACGTTCTCTCTCAGAGCAGCTAATTAAATATAGGCTTGTTTAATAAAGCAGATGCTGAAAGGCTGTGTGCATTATCTGCCAGCAGAGCTCTGTATAGGTTCTTTCTGAGCTTCAGCAACATTTATAAGTATATGAGAGCATGGCAGATTTGCATGGACTTTGACCACGGGAAGCAAAGACCCATATCTGAAGCTACAAATTGGACTATGAGATAAGAACTCTCCTGAAACCTATATGCAATTAAAAGCCCAATCTTCCTTCCTATAGTGACAAGGTTATTGCTTTTATATAGCTGAACAGAGATGAATGAGTCTACGGATTAATAACACTAAGATTTATGACACTGTGCTTGCCCCGAATATTATGGGAGAATAGCTCTCTGGGTGAGATATTACGACTGAATAAATTTGATAGGATTTTTCTTTTCCTTTATTTATTTTTTTTTTTTTCAGCTTTGTGTTATTTAGGATAGTTGTGTTGCATTCTTACCGTTAGTGCTGTGGTTTGGTTCTCAGCTGATTGTTCCATGTGCATTCATGCTTTACTAGGGGGTTATTAATAAATGGAGTCCCACTAAGACAAATGCCATTGAGGAAAAACAAAACGCAAAGTGTATGATTTGAAGAGCATTACCACTCCAGTGCCACCAGGCTGCTGGCAAAGGTTGGCTACTTCTGTATATTTGTGCTGCATTTCCCTTTGGAAGGGGTTGTACCTGCTCCCCAAAGTACCTGCTGTCTGGAAGCAGCTTGTGCAAGCATCACTTGCTTTTCTAAACCCAACCCCAGGTTCCTCTTGGACCCTGCAGAATGCTGTGGCAATGTGAAGATCGTGTTTTTGGAGGGGAACCCTATGAAAACTGAAGGGGTGGGAAGGATGGAGGTGGGGTGGGGTGGTGGGTCAGGGCAGGGGGCTGCTTGCAGTGGAAAAAAGCACAACTGCAGCCCACAGCCAGGCAGGATTTGACCTGAGGAAGAAGTGCAAAGAATGGAGAGGGAGGGGTTGCATGTGGATGCTCTGCAAGGTGCTGCTGGAGGGCGAGATGCTGAGGTTTGCACAGCTGCAGGCAGCAGCCTCCCCATTGTTTTCACTGTTAACAAAGTCACATTGGTTCATGGCATTGTAGCATCTCATCCTTACAGGCCAGGGGAAATGAATTTTGGAGTCAGCCTTTGTCTTGCTGTCGCTTTCCCACGGGAGAAGCCGAATTTGTTTCCTTAATGCAATCACAAAGAGATCTTTGTGCGGAGGAATTGTCAGAACACCTGTCTGCCTATTGAAACCAGAGCCCTCACTTGTGCGTGTGGCATTCCCTGCTGCTGCTGCCTCCGTTTCTGTTGGTTTTCTTTTACATCCGCCTGCTTGGGAGCATCCCTTCTGCTCCATGGGTTTGGCAGTGTGCAGTATGGAGGGATGCATGGCAGTACCAATGGGCACAGGGAGCACATTGGGTCCCCACCAGTGCAGCCCAGTTTGGCACCAGCAAGAAAAGGTAGGGAAGGACAGTGCTTTAAAAGGGCTGCAAAGATGGTTTTTTATTTTTTTTTTGTTTTTCTTTTTCTTTTTCTTTTTTTTTTTTTTCTGGGGGAGGGAGGTGCTGGGCAGGACCTTGCTTGTGGTCCTCTTCCTTCTGCTTGCTCTCTGGGGCAGAAAATAACTTTCTCCATCAGTTCTGAATGACATCAGCACAACCCGTGAGTACGTGGGCCAGTTTTCCTACCAACCCTTGCATGGGAGCAAAGTTTCACCCAACCTGCAGCTATTTCCCAGCAAAATAAAAGGCTCATTTCTTCCTCTGAGACACCAATCCCATTTCTCTGAATGAGGTGAAAACATCACATCTTGATTTTAATTCATTAAAAGCAGCTCTCAGTACAATCAACGCTCACCCAAAAGAAAACCATTTGTTAAACAACCCATGAAATAACACATCTGGCAATAGCATTGTAACAAATAATACAAACCAGGTACTGCTCTTATTTCAACTTGAAGGGTTAAAATGGGAACGTTTCCCTCTAAATGTATGCAGCCACAGACTGACTGTATGGGAGTGCATAGGCATGCAGCTGGGTGCATGCATCCCTGGGGACACGTGGACTCACAAAATGTGTGGAGTGTTTTTGTGTGTTGGAGCAGGCTGTTATCTAGCAGGCACTTTTGCAATTTGATGAACTTAAACGAATTCACCCTGTTCTGCTCAGCCCAGCTGGGCTTCCTTATCCCTGCCATTTAAATGCGCTTGCAAATGTTTGCAGCTAGTAATAGGAAATTATATATGTTTGAGCTGAAGGTGGAATGTGCTGGAAAACAGAAGAGCAGCTGAGAAAGTGTATTTTTCAAACAATGAAAAAGCAAGAATGCTAGAAAAGTACAAAATTTGGGAAACTTGCTTCATTTCTCCTGGTGGGCATTACAAGCAGAGCCAGCCTCGCTCAGTGTTGTGTATGTGCAAATTGTCATCCATTGGGTCGTGGTTCATACTGATTCAAGAAGGGGAGGAGGGACTGCAGGTGGGGCTCTGAAGGATGCTGGAACTGTAGGATGCTGTTTGCAGCTCGTTCGTGGTCTTGTGGCACCATCCAGTGGCTGTTGGCAGAGGACTCCCATTTCCTCATTAGCACTAAGTGTTCCTTTGCACGGTGCTTGGCTGAATGGTAACCAAGGTGTTGGTCCCTTGTGTGTCACCAGCCACTGGGACTGATGGTCAGGTCCTCCAGGGAGGCTCCTGGGTCACTGCAGACACCTGCAAGATGGGCACAGGGAGGGTAAAGGGGAGCAGCAGGGCTGGATGCTCAACTCATGTTTGCAAAGATGGCAAAACCCAGCAGCATCAGGATGCCCCACAGAAGATCTTTTTTCTATTTCCGTGTCTTGTAAATCTCATGCTTCTTTTTTCACTTTGTTTGTTGAGGGCCCAGAACTTCATCCTCATTGTAATAAGAACAACTGGGAGAGGAGCCGATGGCCAAGTTTCCATTGGTGTAATTCTGAACTCCTTGCACATGGACTACTTTGTGGTACTGCTAATGGGTATGAAGAAACTATATGGAAATCATGTCCAAGAACAACCCCATGGCCATTCACGTGAGATACCTGGAGCTTATTGGTGAGCTGGCTGGCTCGGGGGATGTTGAGCTCAGGGGTGGGATTTCATCCCGCTGGCTGGTCTCTGTGTTTTCACATCCAGACGTCTCTCCAAGGGCTTCCCTTTCATGGACACAGCTGTCCCTGCACAGAACACAACAGGTTAGATGAAGACTTGGAGGTGGCACAGCTCAATTGGAAGGGATGCAATGGCCAGCTGCCTAGGGGTGGCCCCACTGGATAAGGGAATAGCATCCCATGGCCATCAGTGGGTGGCCAAGGGTACCCACAGCTGGCAGCGAGAGAGGACAGGTCATCTCACCTGGGATTATGGAGAGTTGTCGAGGCAAAGGAATGCTGGGCTTCTTGAGTTTCCTGACTCTCCTCATCACCACTTGGATCAGCTCATCCCTTAGCTGGAAGAGACCAGGACTGTTCTTAGCCTTCTGCTGCTGCTGAAGCCTGAGCACAGCCTGGAGGTGTTGGTAGGTCTGGATGGAGATCCCCTTTGCAACCTAGAACACAGGGTGGTTGAGAGGCCCAACACTGTGAGTCTTCACCTGCGTTGTCTGCATCTCACAAGCAACCTGTGAACCCCACACAAGCCCTACCCACACCTTATTGTTTCCCCAGTGTAACTCTCTTATCCCACCCACAATCCATCCATGATTCTTTAGCTATCTTTTAGCTACCTCTAGCTGCAAGCTAGCCCTTGCAGCAGCTCTACTAGGTGCTAGGTGGTGGTATTGCATTGCAGCACAGCAAGGTGTAGGAGATACTGTTTAATATGCTCAGCATGAAAAGGACTCAGCCAGTGAAAGTCCCCTTGAAGTCCCTGTGATGGATGCTGCTGTGCCCTCATGCACCCTTCTTCCCTGAAGAGAGGGAGCCCTGGATGGTTTAGCATATGAAAGGCTCCTTGTGATAAAGGCTTGCTGGATGTTTGTTATTAACCAACCTCAGAGGTGTGAGCGCAGCAGTTTATTCCCCATGCTACAAGCTGGTTCTGCCTCCACCCTCTCATTTGCCTTTCAGGGTGTGAGTGCTCCAGACAGGGGCTGCTTCACTGCTAGTTTTGGTTGCTCAAAAAAAATTCTATCTGTTCAGAGCAACCTTTGTATCCCCTGTGACTAGCACTGCAAATGCTGGCAGTGAAAGCACAGACGTACCCTGCTAATCCCCATGCTCTCCAGCCTTTCCTCCAGTGCTTCCTCCAGGATGCACCGAAACTTCTTCAGGAGGTTTGGTTTTCTCCACAGAGCTTCCAGCAGCCGCTTCTTCCCACTCTGAGCATCATCTGCTGTGTCTGGGTGTAGCAGAGCATGGGTTATGCCTCAGGGAGGTGGCTGGGTTCTTATCTCCTCTGAGAACATGGGTTCCACCAGTCCCATAGCCCAAGCCACCCAAAAGCAGGCTTCTGAGTTCTCTCAGCAGACCACATCCCTCTATCAGGGACACCTTCCTCCTCTAACTTCCATTTCCCAGGCACAACTCTTCCAAAAACCCAACCACAGCAATCAGCTGCCAGAGTCAACTTTCTGAGGTGAAGCATCCAACCCAGTACTGTCATACTTGGCATGGAGGTGACCAGTGACATCATCCCCTTTACCCCCATCCCAGCAGTTTCATCCCAGTGTTCCCCATATAAAAGTAGTTACACCTCCAATACCCACATCCTTCTGAGGGCTCTTCAGAAACCACCACTCTGGTCACCTGCTGGGTCACTGCAGGAATGAAAACAACCTGTGAGGAGCAGGGGAGATGAAGCTCCAGTGCAGAATTGAGCTCCATCACCACCTTGTTTTGCTGAATGGAAAGCACAGAAATATCTGTTCCTATAGGGATCCAGGGATGGCCCAAATCCAGTGCCTTGGAGAGCATCCTTGAGGGAAACCCTGCGGTGCTCAGAAGCAGCACTGTCAGCCTCTCAGCCTCTGAAGCCACCACCTGGAGCATGTCAGAGCCATCCTCAGGGAGGGTGGGTGATGTGCTCCATGGATATCTGCTAACAGCCATCTGTGTTCAAAGGCCTTTCCTTTTGTTTTTCTGAGGAGCCGTGGGAGCTGAGAAGTCTCCAGTCTTTCTCCCTAGAACCCGATTATAGAAAATCAAGGCTGCAAAGAAGAAACCACAGCGTGTCTCAGCTCCTTATTTTCATGCAAATAACCACTGGTATCATTTTTGAGGAGGCAAGGTCATTGCTGTGCGCTCTTGATTGAAATCTCATTCCTTCGGGGCATGGCTACAATGCAAAACCAGCTCAAGAAGCAAAGCAGGTCGTTTTCTGCTGTGCCCAGTGCTGCTGCTGGCAGTCAGGGGGCTGCAAAGTGCTCACCCATGGCTTCATGTGAGAGGACACAGAGCCAGCTCCCCAAGGAGGTCCCCACAGCACAACCTTGTAATGGGAGACTGAGGTGTAGGCACGCTCCAAACAACTGCTAGCTATGAAAAATGTATTCAGACTCAGATTGATTCACTTTTAAAAAGCAGTCATTACCTTTGGGCTTATTTGCAGACATCAGCTTGGTCTGTAAAGAAGAAGAGAGATCACAAGGGAAATGCCCAGGCCTTTTCTAAGCGAGGTGCCAAGGTGTTGGCACAGCTGCCCAAGGAGATGGGGAGTCACCATCCCTGCAGGTGTTCCAGAACCATGGAGATGTGGCACTGAAGGATACGGTCAGTGGGCAGCCCTTACAGGCATGGGCAACTGATTGCCCTTATGCTTGGAGAAATCCAGCTTTCCTTTGGTCCTGAAGGACATCTGCCATTGTAAAGGCAGTACCTTTCCCAACCCACCCAACACCCAGAGGTGTTGCCATGTCAAAGCCTTTTTTTTTACGGGGCAAGAAGGCAGCTGATGCGTGGCAAACTATTTATTTAAATGCTTTTCCATGCAGTGAGCTGCCACAGAGCTCCAACTAGGATGCATGACTCGGGACCATGGCATATCCTGGCACATTCCTGGTCCCATTTCTGGGCTTACTGCTACCCAAGCTGACACCAGACATGTCCAAAGCAGGTGCACACAGAGGTGATGGATGGGATGGGCAATGGCATGCGCTCACCTGCACTGCTGTCCTTTCCAGCTCAGAGTCATCATCCTGCAGGGTCCCCAGGCTAGACACCACTGCTGCTCTGGCCTGTAGCTCCTGCAGCTTCTATAGTGTGGAGGGAAGGAACTGTTTGTCCAAGTGGGTCTCAGGAAATTCTGCATTCCTCCTAGGCCCACCTTGGCCAGCTGCTGCTTCTGACTCCAAAATGCATGCATGTCCCAGGACAACAGGGAGCCCTTTGGGCTGTGAACCTGTAGGGCCACCTGGACCTGGTGGGGCAGCAAGCCACATCCCTTCGCTGTCCCCCAGCTCACCCCTTCCATAGCACTGCTCCTGCTGGCAGCATCCTGCAGCTCAGTGAGGAAGCGCTGCCTCAGGCCATCCATCTCCACGTGCAGCTTCATCCTCTCCTCCTGCTTCCACCTTTCAAAATCATTCCTGTCATCTACTTCCCGCTGATGAGCTCTCTTCTCTTCCTAAAGGGAGTGGAAAATGGGAGCAGGAGATGTATGGAGCAGCAGTGCCCAGGCTGGGTGAGGGTTAGGACACTGCCTGTAAGCAGTGATAGGAAGTTTGGGGGCAAATATTCTGAAGAAGTGAGCACAGATCTCACAATGAAATATTCTTCTGTACCTTTTTTCACCTGTGCTGTCTCATCACATCCCTTCCTTCCTTTCTGCCATACCTGCTCCCTGCGCAGCTTCTCTGCCTCCCTCCCTGCTGCCAGCTGCTGTTGCATCTCATGCAGTTTCGCCTTCAGCTCCTCAACCTCCTCCTCCATACGCTCCACCTTCTTGGCCTCTGCAAAGCCTGGGGAGCAGAGCCACTGTGAACGAGGGTGAGACCTGCCTGCTCCAGCAGCACCCTGCAAAAGCAGCAAGCAAAATCAGTGTGGGGTGTAGGGCTGCAGAAGTACATCCATGAAACATGTGCATGCTTAAACACCCTACCCAATGGGAAGGCAGTGAGCAACGATCGTCCATAAATGTTCACAGAAACACAAAAGAAATACTAAATTGTAGGGAATCACCCCGGTGCTCACCCTCCTCTGGGTGCTGCATGTGGGCTTGCAGGAGGGCATTGCTCATGAAGGCTTTGGTAGCACTGGGGGGAGAAGGGTCAAAAAAAGCACTTGGGCCACAGAAAGGGGCTTCCCCATGTTCCTGGCATGGCAAAGCTTTGCTGCTATAAAAGCAGAGGGGGAGACCTCAAGAGAGACAGCTGTTGTGCTGGAGGTACACAAGTGTCAGGAGTGTCTTCTAGCAGAAGCCTAAGGGGAAGACCTTAAGGGTGAGGGTTAGGGTTAGAGTATGGGATGAGGCACAATCCATGGCTTTCCCCAGAGACCAGAAAAGAGAGTAGCAGTGCAGTGCTGCCTGTAGCAGGCTCTGCTCCAGCCTCAAGTTCTTGCAGACTGTGTGAACCTGAGCCACCTAGTTTGGGTGGATTTTACAATCTGGGAGCAAATGAGAAGGTTCATTCATCAATGATGTGGACAAGGAGGCATGACCAGCAGCTTTCTGCTGAAAAGATGCAAAATCCTCAGTGGGAGGATAAAAACCTAAATGGGCACCAAAACCAACAGCCTCCAAAAGTCCGTCAATGGGCCATAGGATATCTCAAGTCACCCTGGCACAGGTATCTCCCAGGACACACGAATCTTTGGGATCTCACAAGTCAGCCCTCTTAACCCCTCCTCCACACACCTTGCAGTAGCCACTGGGTCTGGCTTGAAGGAGGAGCTGGGTGGCCACCAGCTTCTTCCACCTCCTGCTCTCTTCCTTCTCACCCCGGAGCCTCACTGCCTGCTCCGATGCCAGGCCCTGGGCATGGGCCAGCTGTGCACGGGCATCCTGCAGGTGCTGGGCATGCACAGCCAAGCTATCAGCCAGGTGCTGCTGGCAGTGCAGCAGGTACTCAATGCTCAGCTGGGCCAACCTCAGCACCGTCAGCAGCACAGGGTCGGCCGGCTGCCTGCAGTGGGGACACCGCTCTCCATCCATGTTACAGAAGGTGATGTTGGAGATGTGCTCCTGCAGCACAGCCACGTCCCCCTCCCGTGCCACTCGCTCCACATCCACAGCGCTGAGGCGGTGCCGATCCATGGCAAGGCAGCGGGGCTGGAAGCAGAAGGTGTTGGGTGGGATGGTGAGTGCTGGGGGTGCTGTCAGCATTGCCATGGCTGGAAAGGGCTGGAAGGAAGAAGGGGTGCGTTAAGACTGAGCGCTCTGCTCCTCCAGCTCCAGTGTTGTGGTGAGAGGCAGTTGTGTCTAATCCTGCCTGGGTGCAAACACAGAACATGTTTTCCTCCCCATTCTCCCCGTTTGCAGTTGCTATCTACTGCTTTTGCCAAATTCTGATAAAAGCGAAGGGAAGGGAAGGGAAGGGAAGGGAAGGGAAGGGAAGGGAAGGGAAGGGAAGGGAAGGGAAGGGAAGGGAGGAGGAGGGTGAGGGGAAAGGGGAGAAGGGGGGGAAAGGGGGGAAGGGGGGAAGGAGGGAAAGGAGGGAAAGGAGAGGGGGAGGGGAGGGGAAGGGAGGAGAGGGGAGGGAAGGGGAGGGAAGGGGAAGGGAAGCGAAGGGGAGGAGGAAGGGGAAGGAAGAAAGAGGAAAAGGGGAAAAGAGAGGAGAGGAGAGGAGAGGAGAGGAGAGGAGAGGAGAGGAGAGGAGAGGAGAGGAGAGGAGAGGGAAAGATTCCAGTTTATTTACCATCTGCTTTTGGTAAGGGAAAGTTTTCAGAAAACTGCCACTCTTTAAAATAAAGCGTTGAATGAATCTGTAAATCCCTTTACCCAAACACTGGAATTGACGTGTTTTAGGGTAGTCCCATGTTTATACCATTAGCAGCACTACAGTGTCAAACAACCTGATTCCTTGCATCAGACAAAGAGGATATGCCTGAGTAGGTACGTATGTATACATATATATATATGGGTCTAAATATAGCCCTGACTCATAGCTGCAAATTGCGTAGATCTGCAGGGGAGCAGCACACAGCTCCTGCAGGTGAGGCTCTGTTGCATGAATTAACCTCTGCTAAACCAGACCAAGTTTCTGCACCACTGGAAATGTGGAAAGGTGACCAAGCAACAGCAGTGACCACAATGCCCCCACCCCAGGTATTTTCCTGTTCCTGGAACACTTTACAATCCTCCAACGATCCCCAAACCGCAGGCTATGTTACACAACCTCGTTAATATTAACAAGGGTTTCACACACCAAAGGAGCAGTGTTTAACCAGGACCTGCTGCTTAGCAGCGCACCTGGGATTGCCCCACAGCCTGCTTCAGGCATGCCTGATGGGTTTTCCTTCCTTCTCATACAAAATGCCAGATATGAGGTCTCCAATGGTGCAACCACTGCAGCAACTCAGTAACGCGGCTCTGAAGGTTTATTTTCCTTCAGTTCTTTCTTGAATTTGCCCAGCTGGTGTAAAAGTATTCTGACCTCCATGCTGCAATGCAACGTAGCACCCACTCATGTGATGGACCTGCTGGTCAGAACTGCCCTCACCACCCCCCGTGGAAGCAAGGTGTTGATGCTCATCCACTATGACTCAAATTGTGCATGCTGGGTGAAGAAGACACCAGCCTTGAGGGATGCAAGTCCGTCCCTGAGGTAGCAGCTAGGATCACACAGCCAAGCTTACACAGTCAATGCATTTACATGCACCATTTCCACTTCACAGTGCAAAACCCAACTCCACCAAAGTGCTGATGGAGACAGCTCTCAAAGATATCGCCGTCCCAGCTCATGGCTGCTGGACCAGGCTATCGCTTGGTTCTCTTCCCTACAATTCTCATCCTTTGGCAAGGAATTCTCTCCCCCTTTCCTCCTCCCTTCCTGAGCTCTTAGGTGCCAGCCTCTGCTCTCTGCTGGCACTGGGAGATGCAGGGTCAGGGGACCCAGTCCCTGCTGGGATGCCCACTGGAGCAGCTCCCCTCCCCCTCCTCCAGACCTTGCCACAGGCAGCATTCACTCCCCTCCCTTCGTCAGCCTCTCCTCCTTCAGGAAAGCAGCTGAGCAGAGCCTCGGAAATGTTTTTGTCGTGAGCTAACGAGCTGAGAGCCGGAGCAGCACATCCCCCAGTGCCGCTCCTCCCTTCCCATAAGTAGGAGTTTGAAAAGTCTGGGCAGAAAAGTTCCAAAAAAAAAAAAAAAAAAAAAAAAAAAAAGAAAGGCAAATACTCACTTGTTGCTAGAGACAGAGAGAGAAACTGAGGAGCAGGGACAAGGGTAGGGACAGGGATGGGACCAGAGCAGTGAGAAGTGGCTGGGAGCAATGAGAGGCTGCTTGAATCCTTGCAGGCAGGGAGGATTTCCGTGCTGTAACCCTACACTCCTCCCCCGCCCCCCCCCCCCCCCCCCCCCCCCCCCCCCCCCCCCCCCCCCCCCCATCTTGTGACACTTAAAAGCACGGAGAAAAAGCAGTTCCTGATGCCCAAATTGGACAAAACCCTGCGTCTGTGGGCAGCACCGTGAAATCCACTGCCCTGCGCTGAGCTGTGTGAGCAGCACCCCAGGGAAGGGAGCAGAAAAATGTCCCCCCATGGCCTCTGCTGGCCCTCAGCATGGACTCAGTGGGCACTGATTGAGTTGAGCGTTCACTGGAGGATGGGGCTGAGCCTGTGGGGCTGGATGGAGACCCAAACCCACCATCCAAATGCATAAACCCCAAGCGTGCGGAGAGCTTTCTTCTCCCTATCAGTCCTGCTGCTGCTTCTAGCTGCAGAAAGCAGGCTGCAGATTGCAGCATGCTCATTAGCTGCTGTGTTTACAGAAGATAGCATTGTACAGATGGCAAACATTCTATGACGGGCAAGCCATCCGCCCCCGCCTTTCTGCTCCCAACCTAAAAACAGCTGCTCAGACAGACGCAGAAGAGATTTGCAAGCTGGGCTTTTCAGGGAGTTGGGTGGATTTGCATTACTCTTATGGGAAGAAAATAAAAGTCAGTGCAAGAGAATGCACTGCTTTCCTGAAGAATGTAAGGTCGCTGGGTGCTCTGATGGGATTAAATGGGGTCTCCCTTACTCCATTCCCTTGGATGGCCCCAAGAATGGGGCAGCATGGAGGGAGCTCAGGAGAGGCTGGTGGGGAGATGTAGCCCATGGGAATCCTGGCTTTTTGCAATAGTTCCATGTGGCAACCAGCACCTTCAGGGTGAGCGGGATGCCAGTGGGAGGGAAGGAGACAAAAATGCAACGTGGGAACCCAAAAGAGATTCAAGGAAGAAATAGGTGACAGCTGGACAAAGGTGACCTTCCTAGCACCTCTTGAAAGGGCTTTCTAGGGCTGTTGTCCCCCATTTTATTAGTAACAGAAACCCATTGATTTCAGTGGGGTTTGGGAGTGCCAGCAGGCAGGTCCCATCAGTTCTTGGTGCCCCAGCACCTCCTCTTCAGGAGGTGCAACACTTTGCAACCAGAGCTGACTCCAGAGCCTGGGGAAGGGCAGCCTCATTCTGAAGGAGCCAAAGAAGATGTATGAGAGTGCAAATATGTCAAAAAAAAGGGAATCTTTTTCCAGGGGAAAGCAAGCTCAGAGGTTGTGGTGGTTTACTATCCATTTTATTTTAACTTGCACTGATACGTCCCTCTCGAAAATGGAGGGTATAAAGTTCATGTGAGAAAAGCTCAGATTAATGAGAAGACAGTATTTTGGGCTACTCTTCATTAGCAGTTACTGTCATCCATCCCCTGCCATACACGTGCATTGCACCTGCTTGGAGGACTCAGCCCACCCCAAGGTCCTGTGTTGGTAACTTGTCTGATATGTAGCTGCCAATTCTGTCAAGAGGTGCATCTGAAATCCGTCGTAGGAAGGCAGCAAGTCTTTTTATGAACATCTCCTTTCACAAAGCTCAGTAGAAAGGTCCACAGGTCCCTTTGACTCATTAAGGTTTGGTTCACGAGCACTTCTAAAGAAATAAAACCAAATTTCCTAAACCTCTCACGCAAAAGTGTTGTTATAATGTCCCTGCAGGCTGCATCCAATGCATACGTTCCTTAGCAGCCTAAAGGAGCACGGGCAGTGGTTATGCAAAGGTCTTTCGACTGCAAAGCCAGCTGCTGACACCAACGGGGACAGTCTGGAAGAATCACTCCTTCCTTCTTCCTACACATCACACAGAGTCCTCGTAGCTTGTGAAGACCCTCAGCTCCGCGTTTCGGATCAGGTCCTCATAAGTGCTGGGGCAGTAGGTTTTGTACAGTTTTTCAGCCAGCGAGTTGCTCCCAGCAACCACAGCTTTCCGGTTGCGGTTCATGAAGTTCCACAAGTGCAGAGCATAGGAGTGGTTGAAGTCAGGGACTTTGTCCCATACATCATAGTAGCGGCTCCAGGCTGGGTACGGAATGGGGTAGAAACGCTGTGGGTTTAGGAAGGAGATGTTCTGACAGCTGTGATCCTCAACGCCTTTGAAATCTGTGAGATTGCAGATGGCTTTAAGCATCCTCGTCATTAAAAAGGGCCCCTGGTTTCCCCAGATGTTCCCATTGTACTTGAGAACAAAATTCTCCATGCAGTCCCAAATAAATTTGTGATGGGCAGGGAAACCAAAGATCCCGTTGCTGGAAAACCTTGACTTCTGTGCTGCCAGGAAGCTTCCCTCGGGGATGGGCCTGATGGAGATGACATCTGTGTCCATGTAGATGCCTCCATACTTCCAAATGAGGGCCAGTCTGCTGGCATCAGAGCTGACATGGACCCAGTTCTTCTCCTCTTCGGGATCTACCTGCAGTCAGAAAGGCGAGACAGTGATGCTTGGAGACTGACCACCCATCCACCCATCACGATGTGAACTGCACCATAAAACACCCCTACACGACCAGTCCACGTGCCTTCAAATGTCACTGATTGCCTTTCCTTCCTCCAGCTATTGAATTTTATTGGGGAAAAAAAAGGATAATAGTGCAGTGCACAGCAATGCTTTGTTAATGTAAGTGAACATCGGAACATTTCACTTCGTGTTTTTTGAAACTCACAGTGTTAAACCAACGACGCCATGAATCATTGCTTGCTATATTACTGAAGCTGAAACTACTTTAAATGTTCCCTTCCTTATCACTCTCAGATCTTCCAAACAGGCCTGCGGGTTTCCATAGACTTTATTAGATTGGGGAGCTATTTCTTCCTCAGGAAAAGGAAGAGTTTGAAGGAAATCCAGCTTCATCACTTGTCCTGCAGGGAGATGGAGCCAAACAAACCCGACAAAAGCTTATTGCAAGTGATTTGCCAGGAGCTTGTTTTCAGGGTGGAGCTTGCAAGATCTTGGGTTTGGACATTGCGGTTACAAAAACTGAAATCTCACTCACATCTAATCTCCCGTGGGCTGTATCAGTGTGTGGCAGCCTTAATAAGCGCTCAGAGGACTTGGGCAAACTAGCTTCTGTTGAGCAAGATTATTAAGTGCTGTTTTATCAAAACACATGTGCAATCTATTTTTACCAACGCTTTGTTTGCCAAAAATCTGATTCTCCAGATAGTGGGAAAATGCTGATATTATGTTCAGTAAACAGATAGATGAACACATTGCAAAACATGGTAAAAATAAATGCGTTCTGAACCAGAACAATGAAAGTGACTGGTTTCTCGTTGCCAAGCCTATGCTCCTCTCTTCATTTCAAGCCTTCTTTAGAGTTTTCCCACCATCATTTCAACGTTTCCCTACTTCCCCCTCATCACGACCCTCACCTCATTGTACCACTGCAGAAGAGGGGTCTCCTGGAAGACGTTTTCCATCTGGAGGGGAAAAAGGAAGACATTCTTCATAGAAGATAAAAGCGAGAAGGCCGTGTAGCTGGAGTTCGAGTCCAACACGGTGTCATTTGTCAGCCCCTTCATGAAGAGGATGATGGGCCGGTCCTGGTAGATTCTGGCAGCAGACTCCACGGAGCAGGACACCAGTGGTGGTGGTTCCAGGCGCTCTGTCGTCTCCAGGAAGATGATGCTTCTGCCCAGGTTGAGGACCTGCTCAGGTGTCAGGAATTGCTTGGGCATAGGCATACAGGAGAAGAAGCAGCCAGATAGCAAGGAGATCTCGTACAAAATGCCGGAGACGAAGAAGAAGCAGAGGCATATGTGGATTTTCTTCAACATTCTTGTTTTCCCTTGGGCTTTGAAGTGATGTCTCAGACATATATGCTAAGGAGAAACAGGGAAAAGCAAAAATATGTATCTGTGTTATGGCTTAGCAGGACTGGGAGTTGTTGGACTAGCTTTGGAAAGTGTGGCACGAAGGTAGCATAATCATGCCTTTACTCTTAGCAGGAAGACAGCATGGTGACATTCATGCCTTTCCCCCATAGCACTGCTCTTGGAGGTGTTCAGGAACTGTGGAGATGTGGCACTGAGGGATGGACCTCGTTAGTGGGCATGGTGGGGATGGGTTGTCATTTGCTCCTGATGATCTCAGTGGTCTTTTCCAACTTTAATGATTCTATGATTACATGGTGTTGTTCATGCCTTCCCCCATAGCATGAAGGTAGCAGTGTGATACTCATGCCTTTCCCCAGGAGAAACCTGACATGAAACCTCGCAGTGCAGTAGGCTCTGCCTGAGGGATGAAGTGTTGTGTAGCCTCAACTCCTCACCCCCAACCAGAAACTGGGGACCTGGAGAAGTCCTGAAAAAGGGACACATGCCTACATCTCATGGCACAGCTATGCAGTTGTTGAGTTGGAAAAGACCTAGCGTGAGATGGGATGAGATTTTGGCACCTCACCCCTGGGGTAGGCTAGTGTAGTGAATGGTTCTTAAGCTTTGGAACATCATGCCAACATGTGCTTGTCTATAAGCAGACGTCCTTGGGATGTGAGAACCATCATCCCAAGGTGTGGTGGAGTTAAGTATCTCAGGGGACTATGAGTGCCAGCAATGGGAAGACCATAGTTATAGCTTTGGATGTCTCAGCCAAAGGGAACATGAGCACATAGGAACCAAAGTCTCTCCCAGTCTGCTCACATCTCAGCTTTTATCCCAAAGCCTGTAAAGGACTCAGGTCCTGCAGGGATGGAGGAACCAGCAAAAGGCAGATAGTGGACAGAAACCACACGGCTTTGTGCAAGCAGAGAGCTAGAAGGTACCTGGATTATAGTTCTGATAAATCCACATTTCCAGCTTGTTCGTTGGCCATCAGGCCTCCTGGAAGCCCAGCTCCTGGAGGAAGACACCCAAACTGTCTGGATCATGCAAGGAGTCTGGTGAAGGCAACAGATGGATGCTCAGAGAAAAACTGGCTTTACTTTCTCAGCCCAAGAGATGGTGTGAGGCCAATGGGACCCACCTAAAAGGACAAAGAATGGACAGGTTTTGGA